TCACAGGCTCGCTCTCCTCCCTGGGCAAACCTGCTCTCAATGACATTGCTCAGGTCAGCACCACACATGGCACGGCACGGCACGGCACGGCTTGGCATGGCACGGCCCAGCATCCCCACCAACACTGCACACCTTGCACAGGCATTAGTGCAAGCATTTTGTGCATGAATCCGTGTGTGACCTCTTGCTGCATTGTCCCATCTCATCTCATCCCCTGGCTGCCCTCTCTTCCCCCCCTCTTCCCGGCACCCTCCCCCCGTGTGGGCATCAGGGGCTGGTGACAGCGCCGGTGCTATTTGCAGCGGAGCAGCACCCCGGCATGCACCGCCTCATGGACCGCAAGTTCTCCCACCCCGGAGACGTGCAGCAGGTGCCGTCACTGAAAGGAAGGGGAGAGGGGGAGAGGGAGTGGGCGGAGGGGGTTTTGTGGAGTGGGGAGGGGAGGGGTTTTGTGGCGTGGGGAGGGGAGGGGGAGGGTGGGGAGATGAGTGTGTGCTGGCGGTAAACCCTGGAGAGCATGTGGTTTGCTTCTTGCGTATACACGCTGATGGCTGCACTAATCTGTATGTGTTGGCCAGCAAGAACGCAACCTTCTCCGCGCATGCATGCTTCCACTGCTGAGTCGAGCCATGCCCCATGTCACTGTGCTCACCCCCTCTCCCTTGGTCCCCAACAGGCGGTGGCGTGGGTGGAGCAGAGTGGGGGAGTGGCACGCACCAAGGCGCTGGCAGCAGAGCACTGTGCGCTGGCAGTGCAGGCGGTGCAGGCCATGCCAGCAGCCAGAACGCAGTATGCACACCGGTGCCGCCTCGGACTCATTGAGCTCACGCACCTCGTGCTCTCCCGCTCCAAGTAGTCTTGCCCCCTTTGCTCTGCCCTCTGCCCTCTCTCCTCTGTCCTCTCTCCAATGCTGCCGATCTGCTTTCTACATTATCTTGCACCGGTGGCAGCCACTTTTTGTTGATGTGTCGAGGAAGGATGTGATGCTTTCTGTATTCCTCTGTTGTGGTTCGATGTGCATTGGTCGAGATGATGGCTTCCAATCCAATCCATAGCACTGCATGTTGATGCACACTAGTCACTCCAAGTACGCAGGCCATCAACTTACTGTGATGCATTGCACATGGCCACGCGCTTCTACAATCTAACCTACAAGCGGGAGCAGCAGAAGCAGCAGCGTTTTTTAGGGCCATGTGATTTTTTTTTCTCAACGGAAGGTTAACTGCTCGGTGTCAGAACTATGAACAGCGGAATGTATTGGACTAGCAAGGATTGGGTACAAATACCTAACCCTGATAATGTTGTACTCCCTACAGCATGCCTCACTATAGCCTAGTGTTACGATATGAAATTGCATGAGTAGGCATTCCTGTATGCTGCAGGAGCCGACTCTACCGAGTACGAAGTCGAGGAGTCAGAAGAGTCGAAGCGACGCAGCAACCGTCTGACGAAGACCGATGCTGGCAGAAACATTTGAAGTGAAAAGAGCGGGAACAGGTTTGAAACGGGAAGTCGCCGAAGTGGAAAACACCGAAGTCGCCAGGGCTCAATACTACAGTGAGTCCCTCATGGCCTACAGTGTGCTGCTACGCAACATGACGCCTGCGGAACAACTCAACATTCGCTCCTACAAAGAGAGCGACGCTCCAGCCTTGGAAGCTTGGAAGCACCTCGTTGAAGTTTACCAGCCGAAGGACTCGGTCACCGCCAGCAGGCTTCTGCAGCAACTTTTGGAGATAAAGATGGGGCACGGGGAGAAAGCGAATCCGTATATTAACCGCTGTCGCAACATCCGTGACCAGATCACGAAGCATGGGAGTACAATCTCAGAAGAGATTTTCGTCAACATAGTCCTTCAAGGACTCGGGCCAGAGTGGAAGCCCTGTAAGGCGTTACTCCGACAGCGAGGGACAATCTCAGAAGCCGCGCTATGCGCCGCACTCCTGTCCGAACAGCAGGACATGGACTCGAGCAGAACAAGCTCCGCGCCGCGCCGAGAGCGCCTCGCCTTCTACGCTGACAACCGTGAAGAGCGACGACAACCAAGGCGCCATTATTGCAAAATATGCAACTGATCGATGCAAGTCCCGATCCAACTATCGCCACCCAAATTCCACTCACCACAACAACTGGGTCGGCCGACAGGATGCTCGTCATCCTCAGTCTCAGCAACAGACACCTCGTCCTCCTGCGCAACATCAGCAAAGTCAAGGACCTCCATCAGGAGCTCCCAGAAACATCAGCGCGAAAATGACGACGCGCCGACGTCGTACCGCTGAACCTGACGAGGAAAACGAAATTCAAGGAAGACTCCTTGAACCAGAAGAGGGATGGAACAATCCTCTCACTGAAGATTATTACTACCGGTATGACGAAGACGAGCAGGATTGGAACCTGCCAATCACCTTGCGGGAAAGCCCGCCGCATGACAATCAACACTACGTACCGGTGGGATGGAAGGAGGACGAAGACCCTCTCTTCCACAGACGCTACAAGGCGACCCTGGTGACTCCGCGACTGGCGCTACTTCTGCGCAGAAACAACAACGACAATCACAACACCTGGTACCTGGACAGCTGCTGCGGACAGCACATGGTGGGATCTACGCGCTACGTCTCGAATCTGAGCCGCGCCCCCCCAACCTACGTCACCGTCGCCAACAACGAGCAGCTACGTGCCAACTCACAAGGCATTGTTGTTCTGCAAGCACGAGACAGCAACACTCACATCTCATTCAACGACGTACTCTACGTTCCGAATCTCCGTTTCAATCTGCTCTCGGCTGGACAACTTCGCGACTGCGGCGTCATTCTCACCACGGACCTCGCCACACGCGATCTCATTCTCACATACGCCCCACCAGATACCCTTCCCGAATCGTTCAAGTATCTCGGCCGAGCCCGCTCGATCAACGGGATCTATGTTCTGGACTTCGACATACCTCCCTGCCAAGCATCATCAGACGAGCTCGTGGACCTTGTTCCTCTTGAGTTCGCATTCACGAACAAGGAATCCTGGGAGCATCCGGACGGACGACCATGGGTTCGCCACAGTCCGCATCCGCGCGAAATCAACCTGCACGAGCCAGACATCAATGGACTTTGCACCACTTGCCACACTCCCACAGCGAGCCGCACAGAGCAAGTCGAAAGGGAGTACGCGGCAATTCAGGAAGCGGAGAGCGCCGAGGCAGAACCAACAGGCATGACTACAGAAGAACTCGCGGTGTCGTCTTACCGTATCTTCGGTGAAGCAAACGACGACCTTGGACTTCAGCGTGAGGAGCAGACATCGCCATCCTCGGAAAATCTCCGGTTCGTCCTGGAAGCAAACACAACCACCTTTGACGAAGATGGACGACCACGTCCTTACACCCGCGACGTTTACCGCCGCGAAATTGACCCGGCTTGGAAAGATCCTGACGCACCAGAGGAGCTCAGCGTCAAGGAAGAAGAGGACAAGGCCCGGGCGGAAAAGAAACAGAAATTGTTCGAGGAACGTGTCGCGGCTGGATGGGACGAGGAGCCAGCACGCCATGGCGCATGGGGAGATGAAGATTACGAACCAGAAGAAGGCGATGGAGCAACCTGGGGATCCGCCACTAGAGCATGGGGAGCCAGCGCCAGAGGTACGGTCAACACGGAAGGATGGGGCAACACCGGCGGATGGGGAGGAAACGAATACGTGGACGCTCCAATCACCAAAGAAGAAGAAGAAGAGATGGAACGCAAGATGCAAGCTGAGCGCGGAGTACCATCCCCTCGTGTAGCCATCCCACTCGGTCGACCCCCGCGCACCCGCTCACCTCCCTCCTCGCCCTATCGGTGGCGTGATCGTTGGTCGGAGATTGAGGAGGGGAATGAAACACCAACTCCTCTGCGGGACTCACTCGGTCCAATCTCCCGCCCAGATCCTTTCGCGCGTTTCATTGAAGGCACCACGACTCCACTCACTATAATCCCCGATCGCGACTTCCTCGCCCTCTACCTCACAACAGCACCTGCAGAAGGAGAGACAACGGGAGAAGCGGAAGCAGAAGCAGAGGAGCCGGACAACGAAGCGGAACCAGGAGAAGAGGAAGAACCCCCACTCCAGATCCCGCAAGTCACGGAAGCAGAAGCGACAGAATACCTCGCTCGTTACAAGCGTACTTCCGGCATCCGCGCCGAAGATGATCTCTGGCACTAGCGGCTGGGACACCCCTCGCGCCAGACCCTCGCCAACTGCCTCCGCGCCAAAGTCTTTCCGCCAGGAGCACTGCTGCGCCCCGACGGAACAGAACCACACAACACCCCTCACCCAATCACTTGCACCGTCTGCCCCACAGCTGCTCTCTCCCACAGCGCCTACCCCTCCCTGGAGCCGAGCACCAACCGCTACAAGAAATTGGAGAAAGTATACAGCGATTTCATAGTGCTCACCTTCGACGGCATCAACGGCGAGAAATATACCCTCACCTTCATCGACGCCTACTCGCGCCACGTGTGGATCGCCAACGTCGACGCTCGCTCCAAAGCTCCGGAAGTGTTCCGCATCTTCCTCGCGCACGCGCAGCGACAGTCAGGAAGGAAGCTGAAGATCTGGCAAAGCGACGGGGCCAAGGAATTTCGCAGCAACGAACTGGAGAGTGTTCTTACAGAGAAGGGGATCAAGCATGAGATTTCACTCCCCTACGCTCACCAGCAGCAAGGCGTCGCAGAGAGGGTTAACCGCACCCTCATGACAAAAGTCCGCGCCCTCATGAACCAGTCCAGCCTGCCCAAGAAGTTCTGGCCTTACGCCATGAACCACGCGGTGTGTCTGCACAACCTACTCTCCACCACCGCCAACAGGGACAATCTGTCCCCTCACATGAAGTGGACCGGCTCAAGGGGAGACCCCTCCATGCTCAGGGTCTGGGGGTGCATGGTGCAATATCGGCCGACCTCGGCCACAATCGGGAAGTTCGTTCATCGCGCGCGCTGGGGTATTCACCTGGGCCTCAGTAATGAGCACAAGGGTTCGCTCATCCTCGACATGGACAGCAAGGAGGTTGTCCCCGCGCGCGATATCCTCTTCTACGAGTGGCTCACCTTAAAGCAGTGGATCGAGGACGAGCGGCGCAACGAAGCACGGGGCTACGTCAACAGCGGTCGCAGCTTCGCGACTCCAGAAGACGAGGCATCAGCAGCAGCACTGGATCGCGACGTCACCGACGAACATCCCACCATCCCGCCTCGCCCGCGCGACGACGACGACGATGACAGTGACGACGATCCCGCGCCAGGACCATCACGGCGCCAAGCAGAGACAAACACCACACCGCCCGGCTACGAGAGCGGAGATGACGACGTGGTGGAAGTCCCCACTAACTCTGACACCACCAATGTGTCTGGTTTGCAACTACTCGGCCTACACACGTCCGTCACTACTCTTGCACGGGCCGTGGAGCCAAAGAATCCCCGCCAGGCTCTGACTGGTCCCCACGCCAAGGAGTGGCGTGCAGCGATGGATGCGGAGCTGAAAGCGCTGGAATCTCGAGACACGTGGGTCCTAGTCGATCGTGCAGCAGTGAAGGGGAGACGGGTACTCAGCGGAAAATGGGTTTTTCGCCTGAAGACTAATGCTGACGGAACCATCGAGCGATTCAAGGCACGCTGGGTCGTACGTGGGTACGATCAGCGCCACGGCATCGACTTCGACCAGACCTTCGCTCCTGTCAGTCGCCACACCTCCGTCAGGATCCTCCTCGCCATTGCCGCCGCTAAGCACCTACCACTGCGACAGATCGACGTGAAGAACGCGTTCTTATACGCGTTGGTGGACGCCACCATCTTCGTGGAGCAGCCTCACACCTACGGTGAAGGGGATCCTAGGGTCTGTCAGCTGAAGAAGTCCCTCTACGGGATCAAGCAGGCGCCCCATCTCTGGCAGCAGCATCTACACAAAATCCTCCTGGAGATCGGTTTCAAGCAGCTGCCACACGACCCGGGAATGTATCGCCTTCACTTCAGCGGCGATTACATCCTTCTGACAGTTTACGTCGACGACCTGCTGTACACGGGCACCTGCAACAAACTCCTTAATCCGTTTGAGGAGAACCTGGTGCAGCGCGTGGACATCACCATCAACCACAACGTGAAGCAGTTCTTGGGGCTGAACATCACCTACGCGCCAGAAGCAATTCACCTGTCAGCCTCAAAGTACGCAGAGCAGCTGGGGGAACGTTTCAACATCTCACCCGCACCACTCTCAACTCCCTACCGCAACCCCAGCGCCAACTACAAACCGGACAACAAACCTCTGTCACCCGCAGGACTCCAAATGTACCAGCAGAAATTGGGGTGCCTGCTATTCGCCTCTGTCACCTGCCGAACCGACCACTCGTACATCGCCAGCCAACTGGCACAGTACTCTCGCAAGCCAGTAGCTGAGAACCAGCTGGACCTGGAGCGCGCCCTGCAGTACTTTATCTCCACACCTGACATTGGGCTCTCCTACTCCACGCTGACGACCACCTCCTTCAACCTCAACGGCTACGTGGACGCAGATCATGCAGCTGACCCTGCAAATCGACGGTCCCGAACCGGCTTTGTTTTTCGCTTGAACCAACTGGGCCAATCTCTTGGAACTCGCAGAAGCAGGAGCTGGTTGCCCTGTCATCGGCTGAAGCAGAATACATCGCCGCGACAGCAGCAGTTCGCGAAGGCCTGTACCTGCAGGAGCTGCTACAGGAGGCGAAAATTCCAACTTCGCCAACCTTTCGCCTCCACTGCGACAACCAGAGTGCCATCAGGATCGCGAACAAGCCAGGTTTCGTGAACCGCACGAAGCACATCGCACTCCGGTACTTTTTCGTCAAGGACGAAATTGACCAAGGGAAAGTTGACCTCGCCTACTGCCCGACTACTGAGATGGCAGCAGACTTCCTCACCAAGCGCCTGCCACGTCAGCAGTACAAGCACTGCTCTGACCTCACCAGAGTAGTCAAGCGAGTCAGCTCCCTCTGCGCCCAGGAATGAAGGGGAGTGTTACGATATGAAATTGCATGAGTAGGCATTCCTGTATGCTGCAGGAGCCGACTCTACCGAGTACGAAGTCGAGGAGTCAGAAGAGTCGAAGCGACGCAGCAACCGTCTGACCAAGACCGATGCTGGCAGAAACATTTGGAAGTGAAAAGAGCGGGAACAGGTTTGAAACGGGTTCCCGCGCCGCACGGTTTGAAATTGGTTTGAATAAGGGAATGTACCCCTTAGAGTACATGGCTAGTCTAGGTCTTTTCGTATTCCCCTGTATTCCTATATAAACCCGATGTATGCATGCTATTATCAACTCAGTCATTTACATTCACTCTGACCTGCGATTCAAACTTCCGCTGCAACACTACTCTGCGATCAACCCTGAGCGATCCTTCGCTAAGTCCCACTTGGGATTGTAACACCTAGCACAAGCATATATGTATAGTTTGAAACACCCCCATAGGCTAAGGGAGGGATAGCAAGAGAGAGCAAGAACCACAAATGGTCACAAGACCAGTCAAGAGAAGAGACAAAACATCGCTCAAGGTGGATCTTACCGGTAAGATTACCACACAGTCCGAGCACAAGCAATCAGCCACAAGGCCAGTCCACCAGGGCCCGTGCTAGCATTTGGGGCATCCTGCCTGAGGCCTCAGGGCACTTTTCTAGAATCTAAAAAAATGCCCTGATTTGTCAGGGCAAATTTTCAAAACCATTCTGTATGTTCAGGGCTTCTGCAGAAATCAATCCTGACATGTCAGGGCAAAAAAACCTGTGTTCAGGGTTCAGAACTTAACACACACCAGACCAGACCAGACTCTGCTGAGAAGAGCAGAGCAGAGCAGAGCAGCACATACAGTTGGAGTTTAGGTACTAAATTAACTCCTACACCTCCTCTTAGCCCTCCTCCTCCTCATCATCATCATCGCTGCTGCTAATAAACCCACTGTCATTGCTGCTGCTGCTGCCATGTTCAGTATCTGCTTCTTGTCCGTCCTCCAACACGTTCCCCTTCCCCGCCGCACTCACTGGCCTGTGCCTCTGCTTCTCCCTTCTCCTAGTAGGCCTCCTCTTATTGCTGCTGCGCCACAAATCCACAGCTTTACCCCATTCCATGTCATACTCAACCAGGCTCAGGCACATCAGGTCACTGAGCCTGGCATCACAGAGGCTGATCCTCTGCCAGGAATTAATCACGTTCTGGCGGCTAAAGCCGCGCTCACACTCGACGGTGCTGAGCGGCAGGACAGCCACCGCTGTCCAGAGGCGGACGTGGTTGGGGTAGCTCTGCTCCCAGTCCTTCGTTCGCAGCATGGCCGCCAGGCCGCGTTGAAAAGTGCGCTCGCCTCGAGGACTGCCAGCCAGGACCGGGACGAATGTCCTCAGTTCCCTCTTGGCAGCACGCTTGTCCACACCTGCCACGCATTACACACAGAACAAGGACAGAAGAAGGCGGATTCTGGTTATACACAGAGCAGGGACACAACAAGGCAGATTCTGGTTATACACACAGCAGGGACAGAACAAGGCAGATTCTGGATTTACACAGAGCAGGGACAGAATAATGCAGATTCTGGATTTACAAAGAGCAGGGAAAGAACAAGGCAGATTCTGGATTTACACAGAGCAGGGACAGAACAATGCAGATTCTGGATTAAGGACAAAATGGGTAAGGCGATATAGATGTGCTTACCTGGGAGAATGTTTGCTCGCTCGCGGGCATGGAACAAGTCGACGAGAGTCTCGAAGTGCTCGAGGCACTCCTCAGCGTGTCTCTCCTTGTCATCAGGGTACGTGTCTGGCATAAAAAGCCTGACACCGTTCAGGCTATTGAGATCCCCCAGCCGATACTGGAGGTGGCTGAGCGTCGACTTGGCGTTGCGGCGGCAGGCGTCGAGGCACGACTGCAAGTCATCCGGTGTCTTGCTGTAGCCTGTCAGTGGCTCCTCGTGCAGCTCGAAGCTATGTTTTCGTGGCCGCCCCTCCTTGTCCACGCCATCCACCGTGACTTTTCGAGACTTACTGAGCCTGGCTAGGAAGGCCCCGAGATGTTGTTGTGGGCCGCCACCGAAGTCATCGCCGCACTCGATGTAGCGCGTACGGATGGTGATCAAGGTGCGGCGCACGGTCGACTGCACCGATGTCATGTCGACCTGCCACATGACAAGGTACAGTTTCAACAAGGACGGGGAGAGAAAGGGGAGAAGCAGGGAAGACGGGGCAGAGAAGGGAGAGAGGAAAGGGTGAGTCAATGGGGGAGAAGGGGGAGATGCGGGGCAAGGAGGCTACGTTTGCATGCAACCTCAGGCTCGGTGCCGGGTTGGGAAGGCCAGGGTGGGAAGGCCGGGGAGGGAAGGACGGGGAGGGAAGGCCGGGGAGGGAAGGCGGGGGCAACTCACCTCCCGCTTCTGAAACTCCAGGTTGAGGTTGTTGAGGATGATGAGCATGTCGGCGAGGTAATAGAGATGCACATTGAACTTCACAGAAGTCACAATGGGGTAGAAGTCGTCGTCTACGTTGACGGCAGGGAGCACGCGCACCAAGCGCGCGATGGCATCGCCTCGGCTGAGCCAACGAAATGCGTGAATTCCCTGCAGTTCAAGGTTTGTCTGGCAGAACACCTCCTGCAGCTCTTTGAACTCATTGTGAGAGGGATGCGACCTTCCCAAGTACTCCGCGAGTTCCTTCAGCATGGTGTCGATTAGGCCTAGCTCAGGGACTGCAGTGGTGGCGTCCTTGGCTGCCAGCACCTCTCTGCATGACATGATGTGGGCACAAGAGAAGGGAGGGTAACAGGGAGAGAAGGGGAGGTGGGTTTGATGAGGGAGGCGTTGCCTCGAATGTTTCTGCGGGCCGTTGCTGTCCGTCCACGAGGAGACTATGGAGCAGAGCACCATCACGTCTGGAGCGGGGGGGGGGGGGGGGGGGGGGGAGAGGGAAAGGAGGGGGGAAACAAAATGGGTGGGGAATGGCATGCGATGGTGATCATGTGAGCGCCTGCCTGCCTTGCTGTTTCTGCGCAACGTGATGGGCATTCAGATGCAACACACACAGGCAATGAGTGTTACTCACCGATGTGCAATGCAATGGCTGGAGAAGAGGTGCGGGACCCGTACACGGAGCCGAGCCACCAGCCCGTTTGTGCTACCCATCATCGCCCCTGCGCCATCCGTGCTAATCCCGGCCACCCTGCTTATGTCAACACCAAGTGAGTCAAGGAGTGTCAGCAACAGGGAAAGCAACGAAGCGCCATCGCAATTCTCCACCGTCAGTAGCCCGATGAACTCCGTGACTACACGAGAGTCACAGAGAAACGTGGCAAACACGATCTGGTGTTTGCCACGCACACGATCCGTACTCTCGTCACAGGTTAGTCCGATAAATGGACTAGACTGCAACCAGACGTCCTGACGAGCACGCAGATATGTTGCAGTGCTTGCGATGAGCTCGGCAAACCCGTATCTGCATCCAACGGAAGAAGGTACTGTGGGTGAGCAATGGTGTGGAATTCGTGAGCATTTCCCCTAAGCACGATTCCGAGTAGAGCATCGACTATTGATCAACGGCTCACCTGGTGTAATAAGCACCGTAGCCATTCTTAGGAAAGCCCGGTGTTTGCCCGGTGTTTTCCAGTTGAACCCACATCTCAATCGGTGCGTCACATTTGCAGATGAATAGCAGGGTCTCCAGCAGCGCGATGACTCTTTCACGCTGGACCTCCCTAGCCTTTGGGCAGTCCGTGATGCGCTGCTGCTTCTCAGCCGCCTGCTCCGCCAGGGCCTGTCTCTTGACGGACCGTTTGTGCTTCCTGGAACTCTGATGCGTGCGGAATGCCTGGGTTTGGACGTCGACGGCACCTTCGCCAGCAGCGCCGTAGTTTGTGCCGTGTCCTGCGTGCACCATACACAAACTGCACCTCACCGAAGGGAAACCGAAGGAGGTTTGACAAAGCACGAGCCACGGGAAATCAGTTGACCATTCCCGTTTGTACTTCATAAGCGCCTCCTGGTATTTTTCTTCTGCCTCATCGGCCAGTTCCTCAGTAGACGAGGATGTTGCAGGAACGGCAGATGGTCCTGGTACTACTGGCTCTATGCGGATGCGCACGGTAGGTTCCGTAGGACTATCGCGAGAGAAAGACAAGCGCGACTGTTTGTGCTTGGTCGCTTTTAACTTAGCACTAGCGGCAGGGCCAACCCGTGTTGCACCAGGTCGTAAAAAATTGGTGGGGATTGTACTAGCACGGGGTGGTATTACTGCTTGAGTTGGAGATGAACCAGCAGCGGGTGAAACTACCGGTAAGGTGGTCACGGTATGGGCACTTCGCAAGAAGTCTAATCCTGTCAGACCCTGGGGTCGACTAGCCGATGATACTGGCGGCGCGACATTGTCCTCGTTGGCCATTACTAGTGCGAGTGAGCCAGCCGAGCTTCACTTGTGTTGCTACTCTAATAGCAACACTGGACGGGTGTTCCAGGCGGCTCAACATCAGAGATGACACACCTAGTGCATGCATGGCACACGACGAGATGGGATGGGAGTGTTCCCTGTTTTCCCCATCTGATGGGATTGGTTGGTGCGTTGCGCAGGGTCGGAAGTGCAAGGGGATCGCGAAGGCGGGACAAATACACGGGGAAAGCAATCCGCGGCGAAAGAAATTTACGGGGAAAAAATTCCCGAGAAAAAAAAAACTCGTCAGGGCAAGCCTCGACATTCATCCTGACGCTACAGGGAAGTACACCACAGCCATCCTGATTTTCCAGGGCATTGCATATAAAAACATCCCGAGAGCTCAGGGTTAAAAGTGACACTATTCTGAAATGGCAGGGCAAAATCAAAGATGCATCCTGAATTCAGGGTAATCAGGATGTTTTGCCCTGATATCGTGGGGCCTGCAGTCCACATGCAGGGTTATAACAGCAACAGCAGTTCAATGATCACCACATAGCAAGTGTACACATGCAGGTATAGGTATATATCAAAGTCAGGGCTCTCGTTATCAGGGTAAAACACTCTGATTGCCCTGACTGGCGGCCATTTGTTTTTCAGTTACCCTTTCCTAGGAAGGGTAATGGGATTTTTACCCTAGGCCAGAAAGTGTAAGTGTTTTTTTTACCCTTTGAAAAACAGCATAAAGCATTTATTTCTCTGACTGTACAGGGTACGATCACAATTATACTGATATCGAATGCTCCGTAGCGAGACGAGACGTTATTCAAGCCCCTGCAAAATACTCCCAACAGCGAGAATCGATCAAGTAACCTAGCAGATCTAAGATGTAATCGTACCAACTGAGCCACTAAGTATTGAATTGGAAAACTTTGGCATTTATTTATACATATAAAAAGTGTACCAAAAAAATTACCCTGCCCAAACAGACTTTTAGTTTTTTTACCCTGAATTTGTCAGGGATTTTTTTTTTTACCCTACGCATCAGGGTTGACTGTACCTAGAACCCTGATTACTAAGGGTGGCCCAAAACGAATCTGAAGCCCTGATCAAAGTAGGTACAGCAAATACAAGGTGAGATCAAGAGGCAAGCAAGTGAGGCAGAGTAGGTACAAGGCCCAGAGCAGTGCAGAAACGCTGATGATCACTAGGACCAAGGGCCTTGGTGAAGATACAGCAATGTTGGCCCCTGAGGCCACGTAAACAGGGCGAATCTGACCACGCTGCTGCAACTCTCGCAGCAGAAAGTAACGAAGGCAATGTGCTTCGTTCTGCTCTCGAGTCTCTGCTCCTGACACAAGGCTATAATGGCCTTGTTGTCAGCGAATAGAACCGGTGCAGAACGAGGCTGCTCACCCAAGTCAGTGAGCAAGTAGGTCAGCTAGCGTAGCTCCTGCGCAGCCAAGGCCCTAGCGTAGATCTCAGCCTCAGAGCTCGAGCCGAGTACGGAAGACGAGCGAGTGGACCTCCACGAGACAGCATCAGTACCAAGGCTGAAAGCGTAGCCCTTGTCGTCAGCCCACGAAGCGTCTGAGTGCCCTGTGAGCACAACTCGACCCCGTCCCCCAAGCACAAGCCCCAAGCCTGATGTACTGGCCAAGTAGCGCAGCACCCTCTTAGCCGCCTTCCAGTGCTCAAGGCGGTGTCTCCCGGTCGCCACGTAGCGAGCCAGGATGTTGAGAAGGTACACGTGCACGTCATCAGGTACATGGGGCAACCCACAAGCTCTGCGTACGGACCACTAGGCTCTACGGACTCGTCCGAAGGTGGAGCTGAGAGCATATGGCTCGTAGGTAGAGGAGTGGACTGTGGCGAGGAGGACTGAAGACCGAAGCGCAGAAGGACCTGCTGCACCATGTGTGACTGAGTCAGAGTGATGGTGCGCGCTGCTCTGTTCCGGGTGATCTGCAAGCCAAGATAGCTCCGCAGTTCACCCATATCAGTGCAGGTGTGTCTCTTCTGTAGCTCGGCCTTCACAAAAGGATGGAATGTGGGCTGTTGATGGAGCAGTTGTAGATCTGACGCCTGAAATTGGCCTTGACCAAATTGAATTGAATGGAATTTAAGCGATTGATGATATCCGAACTCGATCTGACGGTTGATGAAGGAACAATTTTGGCGGGACCTGTCAAAACTAATTATATGCTTGTGGGCTGTGGTGGGGCACGGTATGACCCTTTTAGGGTTTGTTCTTGTACTTCCAACTTGCTAGTGAATATCATTCCTGCTGTTTCATTCTCGACATGGTTTCAGAGCAGTTAGCTCCTTAGGACCGTATTTATTTTTTTCATGGGACCACCGTTAGTTCTGCCCCACGCTGCCCCTTGCACTGCCCCGCGCGTCGCCACTGCCCCACGCCCCACGCTGCCCCGCTGTCCTGCTGCCCCACGCGCCACTGCCCCGCGAACCGCTGCTGCGCGCACCGCTGCCGCGCAGCTGTCCCGCGCGATCCGCAGCCCCGCTTCAACGCGCGCAACTGCATCGCCTGCTGCTCCTACGCGCACTGCTGCCCCGTGCGCTGCTGTTGTGTGCGCCGCTGTCCCGCGCCGCTGCCCCGCTGCCGCGCGCGCAGCTGTTTCGCGCGCTGCTGCTGCGTGCGCCGCCGCCCAGCGCGCTGCTACCCAGGGTTCCTCTGCCCCGCGCGCTGCTGAGCAGCGCGCCCCTGCTGCTGAGCAGCGCGCCCCTGCTGCCCGCGCGCCGCCCACAGCCGTTGCAGCCGCCACTGCTGCCGCCGCCGTCGCTGCAGTTACAGTCGCAGCTGCTGCCGCTGCTACAGCCCCAACTGCCACTGCTGCTACTGCTGCCCGTGCGATGCTGCCGCCCGTAAGCTGCTGCCGCCGCTGCTGCTACAACCACCGCTGCCGCCGCAGCTGCTGCTACAGCCGCCGCTGCCGCCGCCGCCGCTGCTACAGCCGCTGCTGCCGCCCGTACGCTGCTGCCACTGCTGCTGCTACAACCGCCGCTGCCGCCGCCACTGCTGCTACAGCCGCCGCCACTGCTGCTACAGCCGCCGCTGCCCACATCAACACATGTTTGATGCGGACGACTAGCACACACACACATGTTTGATGTGGACGACTAGCACCCCACACACACACACACACACACACACACACACACACACACACACACACACACGCACACAGACTTGGCAAATTCTGCTATCCAGCTCGCTAAAAATCTTATGCGACCTAAAGGAGAGAACCTAAGGGAACTCGAAGCTGCAGTATCGTATCTCGTCGCAACGTCTACCGTTGGACTAACCTACCTTAAGTTGCCACAGATAAAGCTCGAAATACTGGGGTATGCTGATGCAGGCCGTGCGGGTGATTCTGAGAACAGGCACTCGTGAACGGGATTTATATTCTGACTTGAGCCTATCAGCACAATCTCCGGGTAGTCAAGCAAGCAGGAGCTGACTGCACTTTCATCAGCAGAAGCTAAGTTGATTGCCGCCGGTACTGCAATGAAGGAAGGACTTTACCTTCGCGAGTTACTCAGTGAAGCTAAACTGATGGATGTGCTGCAGTTTCAGCTCTTCTTTGACAATCAGTCATCATTTTGCATCGCGAACAAGACTGGCTTCGCTAGCTGTACTAAGCACATTTCGTTGCGATACTTTTTTCGTCAAGGATAAAATCGAGCAGGGCAAGTTACAACTTCGCTACTGCCCTACGAGCAAAATGGCCGCAGACTTCTTGACCAAGTGATTGCCTTGACCGAAGTTTGAATACTGCATGCTGCTGATTGGACTTGGCCACGTCATCAACATCGACAACATCGAACTCCATCAATGAAACGAAGTGTTGAGGTGAAGTGAAATACTGGTGCAATTCAGTCGTTCGATCGAGTTACAGTAGTATCGTAGTATTGCTATAGGCTTGTGTGACTCTAGCAAGTGTCTCTTTGGGAATGTAACAGATAAAAGCGCGAATAGTCTTGAGACTATTCGCATGACGCACAGTATAAGTGCCCTTTGAGTGACGACTCGGTAAAAGCTCGGTTAGTGAACAGGTACATCGCTGAAAATAAACTTCCCTAGGTGTACATATTTCATGTACTTTTTTCCTTTATTATCAATTCTTGTTCTCACAACTACCAGTACAAGAATTCCTACTCCTGTTGCAACATTTCACTAAGTCTCGTCTCTACACATATTATAGGGCTTCACTCAGCCCAACACTTGTCAATAAGTTAAACTTCCAGGATCCTCATGTTAGTCGGCAAATTTCAAGCATTTTCCCTAAAGCAACGGTTCATACACTTTAGAGCGTACAATGAGCATCAAAAATTTCACAAATGCCAATCCCAAGGCTTCAACCTCAGTTGTTCACAATAAGCAGCAAGAACAACATACATCTGTATACACGGATTATCTGCACAAACAGTCAGTGCTCAGATAATCGATGTATCATACATTTTGAGGCCACTCCTTCAGTAACTCAGCCGACTTACTATCATTATTGTACAATGCCTCCCAATGGGACTTGTAAAGTGATATCATCTTGCCTGACCAACTGTTGGATCCTGCCACCAAGACTTTATCAGAGAGGCAAATAACAAAAGAGGCAGACACCGTTTTTTGGCCGGTAGCTGACTCAAGTGCTGGCCCGTTTGGTCTGTCGCTACAAAGGAAGCTCAAGGCATTGACTGCCTCTCTGTCAACATACACACATATATTCACATGTGTATTCTGTAGGCTAGGCTAGGTAAGACTATAGAGGGTACAGGTTTGCTAGATATGCCAACTATGTATGCCCTCATTTTATTTTCAGATTCTGATATGGTATTACGCGCTTAGGTTAGGTCACACACTTCCACCCCGCCTGCCTACCCCTCGCGCCCTCACGTCCCACTCTGGTGACTCCCCCCCTTAGCGGCCCCTTAGCGCCCTCCCCCCCCACCGCGGCCCCCTTTTCATGGCCCCTTAATGGCCCTCTTGACGGCCCCGTCGCGCCCCACGCCCTACCCGCCGCGTACCCTGATCTGCCCTGCTGCGTGCCTGCCGCGCCCTGTCGTGAGCCCTACCACGCCCTGCCGCCGTTTCCGCGCCCTGCCAACGCTCCTGCCATTGCCAGGCTCGCCGTCGCGCCCTACCGCCATGCCTGCCGCTGCCGTGCCTGCCGCCGCCACGCCTGCCGCGCCCGCGGCTGCGCCCGCACTCGCCGTCGTACCCTACCGTAGCCGCTCCCGCGCCTGCCGCCACCACATCTGTCGCGCTCGCACCGATGCGGCCTGCGCTTGCATAGATTGCACCTACGTTTGCGCCTCGCCCGCGCTCGATGCGCCTACCGCCGTGCTACGCCCTGCTGCGCCCGCCATCGTGCCCTCCCGCTGCACCTGCATCGCGCTCTACAGCCGCGCCCGTAATACGCATGCAGCTGCGCCTAACGCGCGGCTACCGAGCTTGGAGGCCGTGCCTCCAACTGCGCCTGCCGACCGTACCTTCTGCCCCGCCTGCCGGGAGCGCCTGCCGCAGCACTTGCCGCGTGCCTGCCGCCATGCCTGCAGGTGCTGCCCACCTCTGCGACTGCAACCGCGAGTTAGGGGTTCACTCTGCCTGACTGCCTTTGGCTGTCTTCTCCTCCGTCTGTGACTATCCCCTCTCTTTTGCTGCAACTGTGCCCCTCCTCACTCCTCTTAAGGCGTCCGAGTCCTTCTTGTAGCTCGATGCGGAGGGCCGGAAGATCGACTTTGATGTATGGCTGCTTGACGTCACGCTCCACCTACAGACACAACTTCAAAGTGAAACACCCTGTATGCCCACGCGTCGGGTGAGCTACATATTTCTCAGTGTCCTCCTGATCTTGCTGCTAAGGCCATGTCGGCGGAGCGGGAGGCTCACCATGTGGCTAGACTTGCGTACACGGTTTGGCAGTCGTGTGAAAGCTGCTGCGCGCCGTGCTCTTAATCGCCTCCTCCCGTCGGCCGAGAGGGTGTACTTTCGCAAGGTCGTGGTGGCGAAGGAGTGTTTTGATGCTATTGTTCCTCACTATTCCACCCCACCCCCCCCCCCCCCCCCCCCCCCTGTGCTACTCTAGGACACCTCATGATGACCTTACTCTTCCCTGATCTCCCAACTTTCCCTACTGACGCTGACCTCACTACTCACCTTCACTCGCTTGACGTTACTTTCCGCGCTGCTTGAACTACTGACCATCTTGCTGAGTACGCACCTATCATATACCTCACCCTGCACCTCCTAGTAACCCGCCTCCGTGACCGCCTCGTGCTTGCCCGCGACGCCCTTCTTGCCATGCACCCCATAGACCTCACCATCAATCTCTTTGAGACTCGTCTCACTGAGATCGAGACCCCCCTTTGCACCATCGCCTCCTCCATTGGTGTGGTAGTCCCCCTCATCTTTGAGGGGTGCGCTCCGCCCCAGCTCCCTACTCTAGCTGCCTCTGCTTCTGTTGCTGAGCCTTCTGCTACAGTGGAGGTCGCAGCCGCCTCTGCCCTCTTTGGTGGGCGGGGACAGCATAGGGGTGATTGTGGTCGTGGAGGTGGTGGAGGTGCTGGCACTGGGTGTGCGATGGTAACTCTACAGCAGCAGCAACATTCACAGCAGCAACAGCTCTAGCACTCAGTCTCCTAGCATCAATGGGGACCTGCTACTGCGTCCATTGCGGACATGTCCCTCTCTTTCACTCTCAACTCCGGCGCGTATCAGTGCCTTTTCCGCGAGCGCACCACCCTACCGCCGCTTCTAGGTCCTTCCGCAGTCTCATTGGTCAGGTAGCTGCGTTGTGTTCGTGTCGATCGCTCACTCACTCACTCACCCGTCGCTCTTGTGGCACCACCGTCTCCGTCACATGGCTAAGCGCGGTCTCGTCTCTGGTCCCCAGAAGTCGCTACTCACCGTCCGTCCATCGTTTGCGCCGCCGTGCACCTCTTGCGTCGAAGTCAGGTAGTATGCCACCCCTCACCAAGGGATCCAAGGGATCAAAACAGCCCGGACGTTTCCCTTGTGCTGCAGGGGAAACACCGTGGTGTAGTTCGCGAAGTCGTCGACTACCAGCAGAAAGTAGCGCTCCCGTTGCGGCCCAGAGACGGGGGCGGGGCAACACACGTCCATGTGCAGTGCTTGCAGAGGAGCAATGGTTGGAGGAAACGAGGAGGAGTGAGGAGCGGCGCGCTGCCGCCCCTCGACGCAGGGAGTGCACGGCGGCGCAAGTGACCGCGGGAGCAGGGGCAGAGTCCTGGGAAGTGCATGCTACGCAGACGCTGCAGCGAGGGGTGACCAAGACGGTGGTGCCAGAGGAGTGACGGGTGCGTGAGTAACCGACACGAGCAAGACGCAGCTACCTGACCGGACGCGGCCACATGTGCAAACTCAGTGTGCAGTGTGTACAGGCCAGACCCAGGCCTCCGAGTGAACGTGGCGAGGTGGTCGCCAGTCACTGTGTCAGTAGAGATCGCCACGCGCTCGCCTCTACGAGTGGTGGTCATGACCAACAGATCCTGGAGGTGAGCGGTACTCACCAAGTTCGTAGCGAACGAGGGGAGGTGGAGGCCTGTGAGGGAGCCAGAAGGGGCTGCCGGACACGGGAGGACAGTGGAGCCGCGTGCAACGACTGGGCCAGAGGAGGGGTCAGCCAGGGTGACAGGGATAGGTGCTGTGAGCGGTGTGACTGTGGTGCAGTCGCGGAAGAAGCAACGAGACGCGCCTTAGTCCAGCGTGAAGGTGTGCAAAGCCTCTGCATGAACTCCACCTGTGCTAGCAGACTCACAAGCACCTACACTAGCAGCCTCTACACTACCAGATCTAGGTACACACAAATAATAGTCACCCTCAGCACTAGCACCAGAAGTATACATAGCATACATGTCAGCAGAGATCTGGTCCCACTCAAGAACAAACACATCTACGCCCTTCTTGAGCAATCCTAGCCAGTCAAGAGTCTGGGTCTGCTCACCAAACTCCGCTCGAAATGCGTCGTCGAGGTGGTAGAAGCAGCGGTACTCGGTGTGTCCCGGTCTGCCGCAGACCTCTCCAGGGCGGCCCGTGCGCCGGCGGTACTGGCAGCGACCTCCGCCTCCTGGGGCGCCTCGCTGGGCAACCAACTCATGAAGCTACTGCGGCGAGAGAGTCTCCTGCTGACGCTGCTGCAGCTGCTGCTGCCCACACCCAGAGCCTTCGCCTCCACCAGCTGCACTACCAGACGCAGCTCCTCCGGTAGTTGTACTCGAGCCTCCACCCCCGCCAGCTCCACCCCGACCGCCACCCGTGCCACCTCCACCAACCCCACCACCGCCACCGCCACCACCCCCACCACTGCCACCGCTAGCGCCCCCTCCACCACCCCCATCGCCCCCACCCCTAGTACACGCACCCTTGCCGCCGCGCCTCCTGCTAGGGGCAGAAGCAGCACCGACCTCCTCAGCTCCAAGGAAGTCAACAGCAATGGCAGAGGCAACAGCAGGCGTGAGGAGGGAGGGGGAGGACCCCTCAAAGAAGGAGGCGCCAGGAGTGCCACGGGAGGCAGGTACAGCGCAGGCACTGGTCTCGGCCTCGAGGAGACGGGACTCAAACGAGGTGAGGGTGAGCTCAGTGGGGTCTAGGGAGAGGAAGTGGTCACGAACGGCGCGAAGAGAGCCAGGGAGGCATGTCGTGAGGAAGTAGAGAGCGAGATACATGGGGGGCTGGTTCTCAGCCAGAAAGTCTGGCTTGAGAGCAGCACGGTAGCGCGTGTCAAAGGAGCGCAGGTGAGTCATGAGGTCGGCTACGGTGGTGAAGTCTGACAGCTCAGGAAAGAGGAATGGCATCGCAAGATGGCCTAGGGTGGCAGAAGAGGGGGAGCAGTAGCGTCGCGTGCGAAAGTACTGTGTATAGAGCGTCATAGAGCGTCTTGGCCGATTTCAGCTGGCGAAAGTGGGACCTCTGGTCTGGCGGGAGGTGGTTGCGGAATGCAAGCTGAGCAGTAGCGTCGCGTGCTAACTACTGTGTACGAGAAATACGGTCGGTCCTAAACTGCTAGCGCTGATCGGCAGTAGCGGCAGGGACAGGGTTAGAAGGCTCAGCAGGGGCAGAAAGGGACCCCGACGTGTGCTCAAAGAGCGAGGCGTCATCCTTGGTAACGCTCTGCAGGTACATGTGTAGGTCTAGCAGCCAGGACTCGTACTCGATCGGGCGGCCTTTTGCGTCAAAAGTGAGTACAGTAGGCGTCACCATGGTAGGCAGTGACAATCAGTAGCAGTGGCGCAAGGGCGGCAGCGGCAGTGGTGACAGCGGCGGCTGCAGTAGCAGCGGTGGCGGTTGTAGCGGCAGCAGCGGCGGCAGGTGTAGCGGCAGCTGTAGTGGCAGTAGCAGCAGGGGTGGCGGCTGCAGCGACAGATGCAGCGGTAGCGGCAGCGGCAGCTGTAGCGGCAGCTGAAGTGGCAATAGCGGCAGGGGCTGCAGCTGCAGCGGTAGGTGTAGCGGCAGCCGCGGCTGATGCAGCGGCAGCGGTAGCAGCAGCGCAAGCGGCAGCTGCACGAGCAGTAGCGGCAGGAGCAGCGGCTGCAGCGGCAGCGGTAGCGGCAGTTGTAGTGGCAACAGCGGCAGCGGCTGTAGCGGCAGCAGCGGCGGCAGCGTCAGTGGCAGCGGCGGCTGTTGCAGCAGCAGCTGTAGTGGTAGCGGCGGCTGCAGCGATTGTAGCGGCAGCGGCAGCAGCTGCAGCGGCAATTGCGGCGGTTGCGGCAGCTATAGCGGCAGCTGCAGCGGCTGTCGCGGCAGTGGCAGAAGCTGTAGCAGCAGTTGCGGCGGTTGCGGCAGCTGCAGCGGCTGTAGCGGCAGCGGCAGCGGCTGTAGTGGTAGCTGCGGCGGCTGCTGTAAAAGCCGTGGCCGCAGCGGCTGTGACTCTAGCGACAACGGCTTCCGCAGCAAAGGGGCAGCAACGGCGCGCGGGGCAGCGGCTCGAGGGGCAGCGTCGAGCAGTGCAGCGGGTTGACAGGGCGCACGTCGCGCGGGGCAGCGGGGCAGCGTCGCGCTGAGCAGCGGGGCAGCGGGGCAGCGGGGCGCGTGTCGCGCAGGGCAGCGGCGCGCGGAGCAGTGGGGCGATGAAGCGCGCGTCGCGCGGGGCAGCGGGGCACGGGGCGGTGCGCGCACGCGAATGGGAGGGCGTGCACAGCAGCGCGAGGCGTGCGAAGGACAGCGCGGTAGGAGCAGATTAGGGCAGAGCGTGCGTGGGGTAGTGTGGGGCAGTACTACGGAAGTAGGTACGGCAGTAGGTACGCTACGTGGACCTAACCTAGTCTCGGATACCATGTCAAGAAGATAAGAAACGAGAATGATTGTGACTATACTAAATGGGTTGTACTATATACAATGCACCTCACTATAGCCTAAGAAACCTAACAACATATAAATATGTTCTGACAGAGTGGTGTGTGTTGTTGTAGGTAAACTTTGCCGTACTCATGTTTCTCGGCGCCGTGCATCGTGATGCTGTGAATGATCTGCTCCAATGTCTCGTTCACACGCTCAGTTTTCCTTTGGTCTCCGGATGGTATGCTGGTGACATGGCTAAGCGAGTCCCAAAGAGTCCGAGAAGCAGCTTATATAACTTCGAGGTGTCGCGGTCTCAGATGATGGAATCGGGAACCTCGTGTGGTCAGACTACGTTGTCTACAAACTGTTGAGAGGGTACGCGAGGTCAAATTGAGTGCAAGTCATCAGGTACATGAGGCAGCCCACAAGCTCTGGATACTGACCACTCGGCTCTACGGACTCGTCCGAAGGTGGAGCTGAGAGCGAGTGGCCTGTAGGCAGAGGAGTGGACTGTGGCGAGGAGAACTCGAAGCCGAAGTGCTGAAGGACCTGGTGCACCATGTGTGACTGAGTCAGTGTGGTGGTGCGCCGTGCTTTGTCCCGGGTGATCTGCAAGCCAAGATAGTTGCGCAGCTCACCCAGGTCAGTGCAGGTGTGTCTCTTCTTCAGCTCCGCCTTCACAAGGGTCAGCGCCTCAGTGTCGACAGTAGCAAAGACCAAGTCGTCAACGTACACGAGGATGTAGAACGGCGGCAGAGAAGGGTCGGTGTGCAGAGACAGCGATGGGTCAGCAGTCGAAGG